GTGTAGGTACGGAAGAGGGATTGTTCCACGTAACCTACAAAGAGGCAGGCGTAGCTTGGGCCCATGCGGGTACCCATGGCTACCCCCTTTGTCTGTAGGAAGTGGGAGGAATTGAAAGAGAAGTTGTTGAGTGTGAGGACGAGTTCGGCTAAGCGGATGAGGGTATCAGTGGAGGGGGACTGGTCGGGCCTGCAGGACAGGAAGAAGCGGAGGGCCTTAAGGCCATCTGCATGGGGAATGCAGGTGTAGAGGGACTGGACGTCCATAGTAAAGATGAGGTGTTGGGGGCCGGGGAATTGGAAGTTCTGGAGGAGGTGGAGGGCGTGGGTGGTGTCACGGACATAGGTAGGGAGTTCCTGGACCAAGGGGGAGAAAATGGAGTCTAGATAGTTGGAGATCAGTTCGGTGGGGCAGGAGCAGGCGGAGACAATGGGTCGACCAGGGCATTCAGGTTTGTGGATTTTGGGAAGGAGATAGAAGTGGGCAGTGTGAGGTTGGGGAACGATGAGGTTGGAGGCCGTGGGTGGGAGGTCACCTGAGGTGATGAGGTTGTGGATAGTGAGATATTATGTACAACATAGTATAGTGTTTACTGCAATAATGCCTTAAGTTGTTTGAAGATGTGTTGCAAAAAGGAATAAATGTTTTCTTCGTTCTATCTATACAAGTGTAAACATTCATGTTTCTTAGCTGAAGCATAAGTATTTGCAACATCTGTGAAGGAAAAGAACAGAGTTCACATTTCAGAACTCTGAGGAAGGGTCACTAGACCCGAAACACTAACTCTGATTTTTTCTTCATGGATGCTGCCAGACCTGCTGACTTTTCCAGCAACTTCATTTTTGTTCCTGATTTACAGCATCTGCAGTTCTTTCAGTTTTTAATAAGTATTTGCATGTGAGAATGACTACAGATAAGGTTGCTCTTCCTTCGATGTCACTGAATATTTTTCACATTTACTCCTTGGCATTCTCAGGAATTACATTACCTCATTTAGATATTGCAAACCCCACAGCTTGTTCCACAAATTTAGCACTAATAAATGTCACTTGCCTTTATTGTCCCACATTCAGCAAAATTGTCATTGAGAAAGTCTTGGGAAAATCTCTCCTCAGGTGTACCATTACAACTTCTTTCAGTGTATGATAAAAAAAAGAAACAAACTGCCCTTTAATGGCAAGTTTGAGCTTTTTCAGAACAGGTGACTTATTTCACATTGAGCGCCACAGCTTTCAAAACTACAAGCCTGCCTTCCTGTATATTGCAAAATAGGAAAATAGATGTGTCATGGTTCATTTGAAATTCAATAAATTGTTTTGTTCAATCATTATCCATGTTTGAATAGAAGTGAAGATAAGCTAGAGGACCTAAATTTAAAAAAAGATCAGGTGCAAACAATAGGGCAAGTAGCTAGTATGGAGTGTCACAATAAATTTATTTCTTATTTTCCTACTCTATGTACTGAAATAGATGTAGAAGATACTGTTTATGAGTTCTTACATTTATGGTAGTAAAAAGCAACTACCAGCATTTTCTGTGGCCAAACAGCATAACTACATGTAAATTACATATATTTATGTTCTTTGAAAATAACAATTTATCCATGTTCAAATATAGTTTTAAGCTTACACTCACAATCAAGTCACTAACAGTTATATTACTTTTTAAAGTTTCCATTTCACTTCAGTAATTCCAAAGACAAACGGGAGCAAGCTATTCTAGATTCAATTTCCTGATTTTTGCTGTGTGTTTCCTTCCTAATTGCAGATATGTTTATCACAGTTCGAAGTGGATGGTTGCTGGGAATGCAGATTCACCAGTACCTCCTCGGGTCTACATCCATCCAGATTCTCTAGCTTCTGGGGACACATGGATGCGACAAGTCATCAGCTTTGATAAACTCAAACTCACAAACAATGAGTTGGATGATCAAGGGCATGTACGTAGATAAAGATTTATATTTTAATAACATAGACTGGTTTTGAAATATCTTATTTAATTCTGATGTTTATGTTACAAAACTGGGTGATGAATATCAACAATTCAGCAAACACACTTAAACTAAGGGTCACTGTTACTGCGTTAATGAGCTACTGAGCACAGCACAGAACCAAACTCAATAGTGGATTACTTTTGTAATAATTTACCCCTGAATTTTATGTTCAGTTATGTCTTTTTGTTGTATTTCAATTCTATAGTTTATTTTAGGATGGATGGTTTTGAAGAGGATGCAGAAAAAGAAACTGAAGAAAATGAATAGATTGGAGAAGCTGGTATAAAGAGAATGTTGAGAGAGAATTTGATAGAAGTATCTAGACAGGGTAGATAAAGAGAAATAGTTCCCATTGGTGGAAGAGTCAAAAACCAGATGAATTTGTTAGTGCTGTATCTCAACAGAGAACCAGCATGAACACAAGGGCTGAATGACATCCTTTTGAGCTGTAACCACGCTATAATTCCATGATTATTGAGAAATTCTGAAGAATATCATTCTAGTGATTCATTTTCAAATCATTGCTGTTTCTCACTTGCTTCTAGACCAATGTTTTCAACTCAAATTGTGAAAAATTAAAGTTTAACTAAGAAATTCTAAATAAATTCTGAATAAATAAATAAATTCTAGCCTGAATCAGTGCTAACCTGATATACAATATATCAAAAGATCTTGCTCTTTTGTGTACTTTAACCAAGATCTATTTGTTCCTAACTTTTTAACATGCAGAGCCAATCCTACTTTTCACTGGCCCACAGTTGTAATTTTTGATTAGTGCACAGACCCTGATTTCACCAAATTATTCAAATGTATTGTTTGACATTTGGGATGCAGATTATAAGAACTGTTTTCACAAAGTATAAATCTGCAGTCAGAAAATGTATGTCATATATGAAAACAGACCCACCATTACTTGTTTAGCATAAAACTACTTTTAAAATTAAAACCAATGACCAGGGAATAATCATAAATTTAATCTGCTCTGCGCTTTGTGATGGCACCATGCCCTCTGAGGTCAAAAATAGCACAGACCAGATGTGATCCAAATCTTCCACTCCCAGAATGTGCCTCAACTCCAGCTTCTGAAGAACACGTTGTACAGCTTCAGTGGTGTTTTCCATTCTCCATACTTTTTTCTTGTTTACTCCAAGTTAGTGCTGACTCTATGAGCACTTATATCATGTGGACCTACATCCAATGGGAACTGAATTGGCAGTCACATTCACGAGCAGTTGTTATAAAAAATAACCTCCTACATACTCTGTGGCAGGTACATTCCAATATAGCTTCCAGAGGGTTAGCCTTCTGCATTGCCCAATCCATGCAAAATTCTTTCATTTAGCTTTTTCTTCAAGATATAGATGATTATATGATAACCATCTAGACTTCTGTTTGACTGTGTAGGAAAGTATTCTTTAAAATATCTATTAAATTGTAGGCTTTCCTGTTTGCTGTTCATTTATCAGCCAGTCACAATCAGGGTTAAGTTGGTTGTCATATCTACATAAATATTACTTTGCTGGCTCAACATTGTTTAGGGCTGCATGCAGATCCTTGTCAGCAAAGGTCTATGCTTGAAAACTTGAGCACCTGCATAGATTCTACTCATGGGTCTTGTTTAACAGAATGTTATTATTGCATATTCAGGATATCTCTTATTACATTAAAAATAATCTGTGAATATATAAGGTTCCTAGGACAGCTATAGCAATTTTACACATGGCTTTGTACCAGGATAGATTGTACTATACCTGCAAGCACCTTAAATTATAGCTACAATTATTGAACATCAATGTGAGGTTAAGGTGGTAACTTACTATAAATTTCAATTTCACCACTGTTGTGCCATATAGCTCACAATAACTCAAAAACAAAGTTTGCTTACATAAACAAAAAATGTGTAGCAGATATATCTATATAATGTTCTGTCTTTATTTTCATAAATGCTTACAAATTCCAAATGTGAGTATTACTCTGGACACAGGCCAACTTGGAACTGGATTGAGCCTTAGCAAACTCATTTCACAGATCTGTGATAAAACTCTTCAGATGTAATGTTTTATTTTTCCTTCAGAGAAAGAAAACATTCATTCTCTCTTCAGTTTATTCTGGACTCTATCCGCAGTTCTGAAGTCAGGGTGGCTCTAGTTACAAAATAATGGTATCATCATTACCTTCATTGTGGAAAAAAAACCTTTTTCTTTTTCATCTGCTATTTGAAATGTGCCCAGAGGACAGTGCTCTAATACAGTACACTGCCAAGCCCTTTAAGCAAAGGGGTGAAAGATTCTCAATTTTGGGTCTGTACTGAATGTAAGCTCCTGAAATGAAAGACTTGTATCCCAATCAGCTATGCACTAGATTCCACAGGAAAAAAGAACAAATCTAATTTCTGTCTGGATTGAATTACAAACCAGCTCACAGACGTGAAACAGTAATGTTTTAATGCACTTTGCCACCAAGTCATAAGAAAAAAGACATTTACAGAGTTGCACTATAAACGAAATGAAATTATAATTTAAACTTCATGGTAGTTAAGAATGTCAGTGCAATAATTTCAGCCAGACATCAGGTCATTACTTTGACACTCTGCAAATTATATTTAATAATTGGCTGCATATGGACATATACTTAATTTTCTTTGTTTATGTGCAACAAGCTGCAGATGGTCGCCATTTTCAACTAACTATGTCGGCCAATTAAAATAGAACATTCTTCCTGATTCAACGTCCGCTTTCAACAGATGATTGAGGATTATTTATTTCTCTTTAATAACTGCTGGAATTGTCTCCATTCGGAAGAGATTGGCCTGAAAACAGTGCAATATCAACAATTGCTACAGTCCGACTTCTAGTTGAATTAATTTGATCAGTCTACGTGCTGAGTCTCAGCTCAGAGAAAACGCTTCTATTTTTGTATTGTCCAAATGCTGCAGCTTCAGATGGTGCTCAGGAGTAGTACCGATCAGGTGAAAGTGGAGTCACATTTTCGCCCGTCGCTGTTAAAAACATAGAATAACAACCATAAGAGGAAAGAAGGAGTAAAAGGGGAACTGTGTCATTTCTTTTCAATTACATTGACTGTCATTTAATAGTTGGAATTGATAGTAAACCGTTTGGTAATGCGTTATGCTTTGGCAAGAGAGCGAGCCTAATCTTTGATATAAGAAAAATTGCAATACAAATTTGGACTGTTGGGTAGGTTATGTATAAGAATTAATCAAAAATTGAAATAATTAATTCTAAAGGCACTTACAAGCAAGTTTCGTTTTAAACTCATGTGATCAATATATAAGGGCATTTCAATGTGACTAACATGAAAAGACCAGCTAGTCCCAAACCTTCATGGCCCACATTCGCCATAGTTAGTATTCCATGTCCAGGTAACAAACAGGCGTCAATGTAGATTAGTGTTACTTTGAAATGCAAATCACTTTCGTCGAGTTTTCTTCTGTCTCGGAACAGCGTTTTATCTTTACGCTGTTATGATCTTAGCAATTCACTAACGTTGAGGGGCCCCAAAGTCCCAGAATTATAACCGTGCTCCGAATGTGGCGAGAATGATCGTTAATAATGGGTCCTGACGTTTTTGAGCGGCCGCTAATTACAGCACGTGTAAATGCAGGGTGAAACAAATCAATATTGAATTCAGGTTAACACTCGTTCGACGTTAAGCTGTTATATTTCACATGTCCATATTAGTAACAAATCGAAAGACAGGTAACATTGCTTACTATCGGTTAGCTCAGTTAAAGCTGAGCAACTCTCTATATATTCCCCAAACTATACAACATTAATCACTTCAATACCTCCCCAATCTGTCGGAAAAAGGTTACCTTCCAATTAATATTTATTAAATAATTCCTATTTGTCAACACGTTAGTGAACAACTGGCACTAGTAAAAGTATGAAATATTTTTGTCTTTACCCAGTTGATCCACATCATCATTAGATTATGAGGATTCTGTATAAAGCTGCTTAACCTCTTTCTCTTGTTGAGTTATCTAAATCATTTAATAAAGGTGAGGGGAAGAAACTGACTTTGCGCATTGTAGCGAAATAGTGGATGTGTTCTTTGCTCACGTGAATAGCTTTAACTTGAATCGAGATAGATTAAACTGTAAACACTATTTAGTTTTGCTTTACAGCATACTTTAAACCACGTTTACCTTTAGTTTTATTTGGCTGACAATAAAATATTTGTTTTTTATTCTTCGTCGCCCCAACTCGAACAGATAATTCTTCATTCCATGCACAAGTACCAGCCGCGGGTGCATGTGATCCGAAAAGACTTTAGCAGCGAGCTGTGCCCAACCAAGCCAGTGCCTGCAGGAGAAGGGGTAAAAACCTTCACTTTCCCGGAGACCGTCTTCACCACAGTTACAGCATATCAGAACCAGCAGGTAGGCTTCCTGTTGCCGAAAGGAAGGATACATTTTTAAAATATTCGTTGAAATAATCATTTACAGAATCTATTGTTTGAAGCCCATTGAGGCTGAATCGAAACCGACAGGTATGTGCCGTGTCTGGTGCTGAATTCTTTAGAAAGGGAAAATGCGTGCGATTAATTTTAAACATATGTTTATTCTCAAAGTGAGTTGCTGCAACTACTCCGAATGGAACAACGGGCGTGTTACATGTTTAGATAAAAATATGAAGATGGAGAGTCCCCGTTTATTTTTAAAGGATTTTTTTTCCTGAGCTGCACAGCATTATTTGTTTAATTTGGTGGTCAACGCTGCCTGCTCGGGTGAGTGGATTGTCCTTACTGCTTGTATTTAAGTTTGGGAATTTGTTTAATATTGTTACCGATCACTTCGGGATTTTCTAAAATCGCCGGAGGACTGAACGCGAATAAATTTCAGAATCGACACAGCCTCTTTCAGACTGATAATCCAGACCAACAGGAATGTTGTACATGTAGCTGGAGAGTGTCGTCTAGAAACGTTCAAATATTCCGCTAGACGTTACCGGAACTCCTGGCTCTTAAATAAATGACTGATCAAGTAAGCAAACATACATAAGCGAATTTCCATTACGCATTCTAACAAAGCGCATTTCTGAACTTGTGGTATACATCGAAATCGGACACATTTTGCGAGGATTTAAAAACAGCAAGAAACAACTCTGCACAATTAAAACAAAGTAACGGCTGCGATATGAGTGGAGGAATTTTGCTCGCAGCTGTACTGCCGGCGATTCTCTCTCTCACCGTCTCTCAAGCGCGACAGCCTCTCTCCTCTCTCACACACACACATTCTTCAACCCTCTCTCCCCAACACAGGCACACATGTGACCTATGGGGTGAATTTGTATTTGCAGATACATTCTATTTTGTTGAAAAAGCGCACAATTTATAGACAGTCAGTCAATGTGGCGTTTTATAAATTCCTATTTTAGAAATAAAACCAGTCTGACTCCAAACCAAAACACAGATTCTAGACAAGGCCTCACACTTAACATGCATTGTCTGACCTAAAATGTCACCTCTTCTTTACTTTGACAAAACTTTTGGTTCGTTCAGGACAGTGACTTCGAAGGAATTCGGGGATTTATATTTACACATTAATAAATTAAAACCTTCTATCTGGTTAAAGATTTAACTGCATTTTAGGTTTGTTTAGTACATCATCAGTGGTGTGACCCTTTGATCTTTTACTTAAATTCTGTCTGATACTGACTCTCTCACACTAATACCTGAAGAAGGAGGCAGATTCCCAAAGCTTGTGTTTTCAAATAAACCTATTGGACTATAACCTGGTGTCATGTGATTTCTGACCTTGTCCACCCCAGTCCAACACCGGCACCTCCACATCATTTGCGAATAATCCCTTCACTTCTCAGCTCATTCCCTTCGTCTGTTCCAATCCTTTCCTATCTTGTTACAAGCAACAGTTTTCTGAGCATTGGTGGTTCGCTTGTATAAAACAAGCAGGGCAGATTTACATATGAATCGCCAACAGCTGTCACAAATTTATCATCGCTAACCACTACGTTTAATATACCGCAAAGTGGTACAACGCGAGCAACTATTTATAGTCAACAAAAATAAATTGGAATTTCTGTTTTTGTTTCTGATTTACAGCATTCTCAGTTCTTTCGGTTTTTATCAGTTACTTACAATCGTTTGAATGCTTAGGGCATTAATTTCAAATCATGTCGACCACAAATCAAAATGCAATCCATGGAGCGGACAGAAGCAATCGGGACAACTAAATATTTGAAGACCTTTTATGTTCAGACACGAGAAAGAAGCAAAATTATTTAATTACTTTCCCGCAAATTGAATACGATAAACGCAACGTTGGTTATCGAAAGAGTAGGGAAGTCGAATCGAGCTGTTTCTATAAGTTGTGAACTCCACTTTAGCAGATGGAAAGGCCTGACTCGTTTGGTGATTGCAGTTCAAGACTTTTTAAATTATCACACTACTTCAATACATTTAATAAATGTATTAACTCCTCCTGGGGAAAATAATTGGTAAATAATTAAACTTTCCTTATTTGTATTCTAACAAAAAGATTATTATTTTTAAGTTTTTTTGAGTGATGTAACATTGTTTAAATCGTCTAGATTTATGATGTATTTCCAAGAATAAGGGATTTGGAGAAGTTAGGGCTTTTCACCTTGGAGATGAGATTTGGTTGAAATGTTAAGATCATGAGGGGTCTTTCCAGAACGCACATGAAGAAACTGTTCCTGCTGGTGAAGGGATAGGAAAGGCACGGTTTGAAAGAAATGGCGAAAGAAATGGCAAAAGAAACAAAAAATGCTTACAAAGCCTCACTTTTCTCAGCATTTCACTGAATTGGCATATGTCTGTCAGTTTCACCAGGCTGCAGATATCTCCCTCAATCTGTTCACGTTCCCAAAAAGGTTTAACTTGTGTGCAGTCCTGGTCGCCGCGCTATGTAAGGAGGGTGCAGAAGATATTCACCAGGAATCTGCCTGAGATGGAGTGTTTTCTTTATGAAGAGAGGCTGGATAAGCTCGGGTTGTTTTCTTTGGAGCAAAAAACGCCGAGGGGGGGACCTGATGCAGGGGCAGGGTGGATAGGAAGCAGCTGTTCCCCTTAGTTGAAGGGTCAATAACAAGGGGGCATGATTTGAAGCTGAAGGGCCAGGAGGTTTTGGAGGGATCTGAAGAGGATTTTGTTTTAACCCAGAGGGTGTTGGAATCTGGAATACATGCGTGGGAGAGCAGTGGGGACTAGAAACCTCACAACCCTTTTAAAAAAAAGCGTGGACAAGAAGTTGAAATTTTGTAACATTCAAGGCTATGGGGCAAGTGCTGGAAATTGAGATTCGTATAGATAGGTAATAGCTGTTGGCGCAGACTCGATAGGCCCAACGGCCTCTTCTGCTCTTAATGACTCTAAAGGAAACATGAAGGAGAGTATCTTCATGCAGCCAGTGGTTCGGGTCTGGAAATGTGCTGGCTGAGAGTGTGGCCAAGGCGAATTCAATCCACACAGGAATTAGACTGTTACCAAAAAAAAAGTGGAATGTTAAGGCTTATTGGGAGAAGCGGATACTAACAGTCAGTGAATTGCCCAATGGAGAGCCCGTGGAGACATAATGGGTTGAATGGCCTCTCCTGTGTCAGAATAGTTGTGCGTTTCTCTGGCTGCAAAGGGAAGCGCCACGCACAGGCGTCAACTTTTCGATTAAATTTCCGAAGTCCCCGACAATTCCCTGCTCCCGAGAGGATTTACCTCCCTCGGTTAAACAACAGTTCGTTTTAAACAGCATCCACGATGGACTTCAGGAGTAATAGTTGTTTTTAGTTGCTGTTTGGTTACGCTTTGTCTTTAGAATATATTCATTCTTGAGCTCCGCTTTCAATCGGGTTTCGTAAACTCCAAGACATTTGCAATACCTTCTTACCAATGCCAGTATTCTACATCTCCCGGTTAATAGTTTATATCTTTTAGCCACTGACGTATCTGGATTCTCAAAATGTTTGTGCTGGAGGTCGAAGGGCGCTCTGAACAAGATTGAGAGGAAGTCTGATAGCAGACTCCAGTTAAACACTAGAGCAGGTTGAAACTAGCGGTGCGAGCAATCTCCTCCAAGCTCTGTCCACACATTGCAGGACTGTGGGAGTTAGACGATTTTTAACTGAAGCCTCCTCGCTGGCCAACAATACAAACACTCGACACCAGAACTTGGTGTGGATTTCTGGGGTACACCGTGTCTGTTCACAGTGTCTCAACATAGGGGCTAGTTCACAGGGCGCTCGGTAACAGAAAAGGGGCGCATTTCTGAGAACGAATCTTCCATGTAGTTTTTATTTAATGTATATCACAGTCCACAAACGGAATCTATGTAAATGTTAAAAAACATTCCCGTTATGAACCTTTTGAAAAACATATTTCCAGACTTCCCACCCCATTCCCAAACGCTATAGATCAACCTCCTAACTACAGAACTTGAAATACTTGAGACTACTTAGAAACGTTTAAATGGGTATAATTGAAAAACCCGGAAAAATCCCCTTGATTCAATCGTACATTTAATTTATTGTTTGTCTTTACTGAAACATTCTTGACTCCGCCAATTCCTTTGCATTCCGGATTATTTACATAACTGCGCCGCTTGTAACGGGAAACACTTTCAATTCCCTTTTCTCACTTGTTAGTTAATGGGACGCTGACTTGGCGAGTTGACTTCATTTTCAAACGAAGTTTCAGTATAAAGCCGATGTAAACACCGATGCAATTTCCCGGCTCTGTTCTACGTGGAGACCAGGACAGTGCCTTCTTGTAAAGTGGCCACGACCCACTCTCATCTGGCCGAGATTTTAATAGTGAATTTGTTCCTTTTTATTTCCCAGATTACAAGGCTGAAGATCGACAGAAACCCGTTTGCCAAAGGATTCCGAGACTCGGGCAGAAACAGGTGAGGAATCACTGTCTGAAACACACAAAAACAACCCTTTAAGAATGAACAGTTCAAAACTTAACCGAGACAAGTGTCGCATCAAAAATGTGCTGTGCTGGCTGAGGGTGTGATAAGTGTGCAATGTATCCAACATCCGTACATAGCAAGCCATGGGCAAGCAACTTCAATATTAAAGAAGTTTGCAGGAGTTAACCAGCAGCTTTCGAAATAACCCGGTTCACAGATTTCACCCCACCCCCCGTCGATTCCTTCCAGCGCTGATGGTAGGGGCAGACTATGGGAGAATGTAACCGCAGTTAGAATAACGTCCCCGTTCCCATCTTTATCGTAGGGAATGCGATGTCGCTAGAAAGAAATGGGTGTGTGTGAACTAGTTGTAACAACGAAGTGGTTCTTTTCTTAACAAAACAAAGAAACGGAATCTTTACCTGTGACACTGTGTAATGATACCAGTTATACTGAGGCACTCTTTCCACAGAGACCTATTTCAGACGGCAGATCCAGTGTCAGTTTGCCCGTGCAAAGAGGTTACAGGTAAGCATGAAAGCAGAGTAAATCAAGAGTCACACCTTTGCAACACTTCACCTCAATAAGCACAAAAATCACTAAGCACAGTGGATATATTCTGGCAGTAGGTATATTGTCGCAGTATCACATTTACTCGGCACCTCGTGGAAACCGATTGGACTTTTTAACATGAGGAGAAAGCGGACGTTCCCACCCCCGGAGCTGGGAATAGCAGCTCTTGTATCCAAGAAAACAGGAGCTCCTTTGTCACAATGCAGTCTGTAGGAACTGGCGGCGAGCAATGTAACCAGGGCAGTTCAAAGAGTGGAGAGGAACTTATTAACTGCTGCAAATTACAGGCGAGAGCATTCCTCTGAAAATTAAAAGAAATAAATGGAAAGTAATCATCTTAAAGAAGTCAGCTTTGCACCAGTTTGGAGTCGTGCATGAACGAGTCCAATTTCAAACCAAAACAAGACAGCCTCCTGAATACACGAAAGCCATCAGTATCTCATTCCTCCCTTTTTCCACTTCCATGCTACTTCTGGTGCCCACTGCCACTTCTCCAGGGCTATTAGGGATGGGCAAGAAGGAAGAACACTTGGAAAACAAGTCATCCCCGCATACAACAGAAACGGCAAATGCTGTAAATACAGACCGAAAGTCATTGACCTGACCTGTTATGTGTTTTTCTCTCTCAGATGCTGCCTAAACTTGCTGAATATTTCCAGCATCTTCTGGTTGTATTTCCGTTTTCAGGCATCAAAATTTTGGTTTTGTATCAGGCACTCTATGTACCTTAATGATACCCAGCTCAACCTTGCTACACCCATCAGAATGATGAATATGGATTTCCCTTATCTGAAGGGCCAAAGCCATTATCATCAGAGGCTTCTAGAAACCCCATTCCCTATCACTGTCACCATAGCTCTCAAGGTAGCTATTTCAGGCTTAACCACACTGTCCGCAGCATGAGTGCTATGTTTGACACTGAGTTGAGTACCTGTCCACCTATCCAGGCCATTGCTAAGAGTACACAATTTCACTTCTTTAACACTATCCAACTAATTCCCTCCTACATCTCTATCTCATCACATCTGCTACTGAAACCCCTATCTAGGTCTTTGCCACCTCACGCCTGGATTATTTCAATACCATTGTGGCTCCATTTTCAATCTCCCATAATTTTAACCTCATGCAAAACTCTGCCCGTCATCCAGCTCACAGCAAGTTCCAATCATCTATCATTCATCTGTTTGTGGACTTACATTGGTTCCTGGATACCAGCCACAATGCAGTTTTTAAAATTTCCATTCTTGTTTACAAGTCCTTCCATAGTCATGCTGCTCCCTAGTTATGTAAACCCATTCAACTTTACAGCCTTAGAGATAGCTACCCTCTTCCAATTCTGGACTTTTTCCCATTCCTATTGTCCCACCATTTGCCTGTAAGTTGCCAAAACCTGAAGATCTGCAATTATCTCCCTAAACCTCATTGTCTCTCCACCTCTTCCTTCTTTTAAAATGCTCTTAAAGTAAACATTTGCTCATCTGGTGTTGTGAGGCATCATCCCTCCCATTCCTCTCGATGTGTGGAATTGTGATGCTAGTATGCATTCAGGAATAATGCTGCTCACCGTGGGAGTCACGTATGAAGTTTTAAGAGTGCACTCTGCCTCTATTCAGCTTGAATTGGTCTGTTCCAGTGCAATACTTTGTAGAGGGCATTTCTAGCAGATGTGAGCAGGGAAATAAACAGTGAGGCAAATAGACTAAAGAATCTTCATTGAGTCATGAACTGTCCATATGTGGAAATAAAGAACAGAAAACATTATTTATATTACAATGTAGAAAGAAAAACATAGTTTAGGAAATAGTGATGAAGGGGAAAAGAACAAAACAAATAGAAAAGCCAAATAAAATTAATTGATGTTTTCACTTAAAACATCTTCAATATTTTCACTTAAAACATCTTCAATATTAACTTCTGATTGAAATTAAAACTCCACATTTGCAAAGAGAAAATCAGATCCTGGGAGGTTATTTCAATAGTGTCAATGGCATCAAACAATCAATAGCGCACTTCACCTTAATGCAGCAGCTGTAGCTTTCAGATTTTATTTTTGTGATGATCTAATGAACAAGGACAAGATGTTCATACCTTTTGTAGTTCTGTTAGGATTTCTAATGTTGAGTCTATAGCCAAAGACTGCAGGAGCAGCGCATTCAGTAACTTCTACATTTCCGCTATTATCTGTGCATCAGGAAATGTCAGAAATTATCTCTTTTACTCTATGATAATGGTGAGCATTGGGGAAAGGGGAACTAGGAAAAAAATTAAAAAGACTAATGATGGAGAAGTTTCTTTGAAAACAAGGTGTAGTCAAAGTTTGGAAATTAACTGCTTGGTCTGAAGAGTTCCACTGGGCTGGCTAAATGCTGGTAATCAATGGTGGAGCAGAATGAGTTTTCCACGTCTCACCCAATGTAAGAGGAACAGTTAGTCCATATAAGAAAACTGAAAGTTGGCAGAATCATTGAATTAGGGCTGGAAAAGTCTACAGAAGGATCAAAAACAAGCTTGAAAATTTTGTTGTTTGTTCATGATGACAGAGTACTGGGCATGTGATGCTTTGTGTAGGTGATGGTTTAGACTGTGCTTCTGCATGAGCTATTACTATAGATGATTGAACCGTGATTGTCAGCTAGATGCCCATTGGAAAAGTTGTGCCTTGGGTTGTGGGTGGATTTAATCATGGATTAAGATTTCTAATAAGGGGATTGAAGAGGACAAACCATTTTGGCAATATTGACTAAAGTAAAATAAACTAGGTAAAGATATAGGTCAGAAAGTACAGATAATCTCAGGGCAGGTAGCTATTAAAATTCTGAAACTCTTGATAGCTTGAGTATGTAACTTTGGCGATTAGCATTGAGATTGGCTGACGATATGAAAAACTGGCTGATGGCTAAAAGTGAAAAGATTAGTTTTGTTTAATTTGCATGAAACTGTGGGATATTTTGTCTCACTTAAGGTGTAATGTTGGACAAGTGATTCAAGACTGTAGCAACAGCTGTTGAAATGATGGAGAAAGTGTAAAAGTGGAGTTGCATGTACCTGAAATCTTACAATATGCATCTGGATGTTAGTGTAAGAAATAGCATGTAAATTGTGAAAAAGGGTCTGCTGAGGGTGGATCTCTGCAACACAAAGAGGAAACAGCAAATAAAGAGGAGATAAAGCTATTTAAGCCAAAACCTTGCAACTGAAATAAGTAGAACTAGCATTAAACGGTGTCACAAAGGTAGACTTCAGTGGAGAGACACTGGAGGATGATGAAGTGTTGTTGAAATCTGTGGAAAGGTCAAAAAGAATACAAAGTGATAGGAGGCCACAGTGACTCTTGTCAGTGCTGTGCCTAGGACAGATGTCACAGTAATACATTTTGAGCAGGACCAGGCTTGAGGAATAGTAGCATGGTTATGAGGTAACAACTTATTTTTGGAACATGAAAGGATAAGAAATGTTGGAAACAGGGTGACAACTGGACAGACTGGAGAACTTGAGGTGTCTTGCAGAGGGGAATAACAATAACAAGGACTGAAGGTCCAGCTTGCACTGGAGGAAAAACAAAACATAATGATATTAGCAAGCATAGGACAGGAAAGGTGGAACAGAACAGTCAGGAGCTGAGTAACTGAGGCAGGATACCAAACAGATGGTAGACTTCGTTAAATCCTTGCCCTAAGTGGAAGAGAGATGGCTCAGTGTGGAAGAGGGCAATCTACAAATTCAGACAGCATTGGACCAGTCGTTACAGCTTTAAAAGAAAACACTTCACAAGATGGATAACTCTGCGCTGAATTTGACTAGCCATTCTATCTACTCAAGATCATTTCATGATAATTGGCTTGTCGGCCTCATCAAAAGGCGTGAAGAGTGACATTGCACTGAACTAGAGTTACATGAAAGGTAGGAGTGGCCGATTTGCTATCCTGAAGAATATTAATGCTTCAGTTAGGTTTTTGTAGTAATTCAGCAAATTGCATGACAACCTATGTATAATCAGATGACTGAATTCAATTTCACAATTTACAATGATGGGATTTAATTTCACAATCTTTGGATTGATAGTGCAATTGCACAGCCAGTGTGTACTGAGTACAGAACATGAAAGAGCTTGGGCTGATTCGACTCTGTCTGCTGAAGGCAAAGAATTTGAATTATTTTTAACCAGCTTTTCAGGATAATGTTTGATTATTGAATAGTTTTGCATGAGACATGGTGAATTCCAAAGTAATCCAGTGAAATTCAGCAGTGAACATCAAGGCCATTGTTCAAAATCTGATGATGCAGAGATGGGTTTTGAAATTAAGAAAGTGAAGAAGTCACTTTCTTAGTGAAGTGGGAAGTCTTTTCTGATCTGAGGCAGTAGGATCATTGAAATGACACAGTTGTGGAGCAGTCTATTACACTGTTGACAAAGATAT